CTTCTCAGTGAGAAACAGGTGTCAAAAAGGAGTGTCACTTAGCTGCAGGGGCAGAAAACATGGTTATTTTAGGATGTTAAATGCTATGTACTATACCCTGTTATTCTTTAACAGCCCACAAAGGGGACAACCTTCCTCAAAAAGCAGCAACGTATGCAAATTGGGTTGAAAGCTACATTTTAAATAGCATGTGAAGTCTAAAAAGTTGAATGGAGAATATGTCTGTCTTTCAAAGGTAAACTCAAAATCATTTTTCTTTAGATGGATTGAACCACCCAAATGCAACTGATTCTTTCATTCAGTGATTGAATACCTTACATATACAGGTCTTCATTCTGGATTTTGTGAAATTAAAGGCAAAGGTAGTCTACAGAAATGGCAGCACAACTGAATGTTACGTGCTGGCAGAATCTGGATGTTTTAAAATTCTGACTTAATGGGAGAAGGATTGTCTCTTGAGATGAATTTTAGTCATTAGTGGAATTCATTTTGAACCATATGAAATCATCTCTATTAGGGGAGTTATTTTGGATAGCAACTTCATAACAGTTGCATCATTGCCAGCCTTAGCACAACTTTTGATGTGCCTGTCTATATATGATGAAATTTCGGGGAATTTTGCAAACAAAGAAATCTTTCTGATAGCTATTTTCTTCCTGATCTTATTGCTTGTGTGTTGATGCGACCTTGAGCAGCAACATGGGACATTTATATAGTCCTTAACATCAAGCACTGAACACCTCAGCCAGTATAATGAATGTAATGCTAGAATATGTCAAGTAATGTTTGCCATCATTAGTCTTAAGGTGTTCCTGTCAAAGTGAGCAACACTGAGTAATAGTACACACCCATCAGTGTTTCACAGTTACTTACACTTTGGTTTATTGTCACTTATGGCTGGCTCTTTTTGGGTGCTGTGAGTTTGTGTTCATTGTTAACCTCACTGGAGCCAGCATCAGTTGTTACAAAGCAGGACACGGCATTGAAATTAGAAGCATGAGCCAAAAGACCGCATCTTTTTGCCCTAAACTGCTACTGCAACTGTGACGCATTTAAGTAGGCGAAACTACAGTTTTTTGGATTGGTACATAAAGAGCTCTTTTATGGAGCATAGCTATAGGACAAGTTTTATAAAATCTTTCTTGTGCTTTCGAACAAGAAAAGGGGTCACTGAATATATTTGGCATTGGTGGTCACTGAATGCCTTTAGGTTTGTGACAATGGGGACTAGCTTGTAGTAGCACATATTTTAATAATATTATCCTTTAGCGTACAACTTCAATCTATTTGTTGTGGTTTTTTCTCCTTATTTATTTCCTTTGGGAACCTAGCGCCATCCCTTTTCAGTAGTCTTCTCCCAGACCTAGATGCAGAACTGAATCTTAACTCTGGAAGTTTCACAGGCAACAGATTCTCTCTCAGCTCTTTCCACTTGCTGTGCTTATGCATGGAGTGGAAGGCCTGTTTTACCTTAGGAGAATTTTCCAAGAAGACTCTAAGCAGTTTATGGGTCCAGACAAAAACTCAAAACTCTTGTTAGTGCTAATACAATGGTTATTTGCTGCTTGCTGTCAATTTAACACTTGCTAGTGTTGTAGAGAAGATAAAGAAAAGCTGTAGCCTCACCGGGACTGGCAATACTCACAAGGGCCAAGCTGTAAATAAAGGTTACAGCCTTCTGCTGCTGGGCATTAAATAAGCAGATAAATTTTTCTTTGCTGTGGATTTATTCAAGGCAGATGTTTTTAGTGAGCTCTGGAAAGGTCAGGGAGGAATATAAAAGCTGCTGCAGTTCTGGAATTGATCCATTAGGATCAAAACCTAGTAACCAGCGATTCGTTTAAGGGTCCCTGACATTTTTATGGCAAGACCATGTATTTCAGAGAGGGCTGGCTCAGTTTGAAATACATTCCAAACCTAAACCTGAAATAAATCCTTGCAACAGAGAAATTCTGTAAACTTCTGCTTTCCCATCATTTAATTTTTGACAAAAAATGAAAGAAAAAAAATACAGAGATCGTGAAGGGAATGACTCAACCTTTTGAAAAGAAATGGCATGCTGATCACCTGTGTTTGTAATTTTCTGTGTGGCATTTTCTCGGTGTAGATGTGTGGATGAACAAAACAACACAGACACAGCAAGCATAAAATAAACACACATGGAAGAAATGGAAAAATACTTTATGTAGGCTCAGTCATGTGATTCTGGAAATGCATGTATAATGGTCTATCAGAGCTTGAGGGTTCAGGTAAAAATGGCCTTATGTGGTCCAAGAGGGACTTAAGAATATGATAAAATAAAAAGAAAAATGGAAGGAAAGTGTTTCCTGTTGCTTCAACCCCAATTGTTCCCTGGGATAAGTGATGGAATGTTTATGCTTGGGAGCTTTGAAGCTGGGTTGAACATAGAAGTAAACACCAGAAGGAATGATTGTGAACTGGAAAAAATAATAAATATATTAGGTGACATGTAATTGATGACTTGTATTCACAGGCCAGAATCTCATAGAATCATAGAATCATTAAGGTTGCAAAAGACCTCAAGGATCATCAAGTCCAATCCAACACCACCTAACTCACTAAACCATGTCCCTAAGCACCACATCTACACGTTTCTTGAACACCTCCAGGGATGGTGACTCAACCACCTCCCTGGGTAGCCTGTTCCAATGTCTGACCACTCTCAGCAGCTGTAAACAGATGTGGCTAGACTAATGTTAGTAAAGAGGTTGTGATGTAATGCACTGAAAAGGTGACTCTTTCTTCACACCAGTATAAGTGCTACTCTGTCATTTTACTGCATTGTATTACTTGAAATAGCAGTTTCAAAGCCATTTTGCCTCAAATATTTTAAATTCAAGGAAATCTTAATATCCAGTGAAGCAAAAATGAGAGGTAGAAACTCCATTCTAATATACACTCTGGTTTTGGATAAGTCACTAAATCTCTCTGTTGGTCTCTTAATCTAAAATGAAAAGAGGCAGGAGGGCATTGGCAAGTCAGTAGTAAGAAACAGTTCTTTGGTATAAGTCACTTCGTGTAGCAGTGAGCACATTATCAACTAACAAGAGCTACACTACTATAAAAACTTATATCGGTGCTTCACAACTCCATTTTTCTGGACATGAGATGTGCTGAGAAGGATACTGCTGGGAGCCTGCCCTCTGAGTAAGCACTAAACCAATATGCTGGAGTAGTGTTAGGGGGCAAGGTTGAGTGGGAGCTGCTGTTTTGCAGAAAGCACATTAAAGAAAAAGCATGTATTCTTCACAGAACATGGCTCTTACAAGGTAAAGATAGACTCAGAAAGAACATGAGAAGTTTGTACCAGAAGTGGAAAGTTTCTCCAGCTTATTCAGCGTATTCATGCTCTTGGCAAACATTAATGTTCTCTCTATATATATTAAGTAGTGCCAGAAAGAAGGAGTTGCCACATCACTGGCAAAATTAATTTGTCTGAACTGATACCCAAGGAATTAAAGAGAAGAATTTCCGACAGCCATAGGTTAAGCTCCATCAGATGAGAAACCCAGCTGACGTGAGGTGGGGCTGCACTGAAAATGAAAGGTTTTGAAAGAAGAAAACCTAAGAATGGGTAAGGTTGGTTGGCTAAAGATTGTAATTTGGAAAGCAAGTGCTGTGGAGTCAGAAGAAAGCAGAGCTGAAATATAGATTGGAAACTGAGAGGAGAATGCTGGGAGGAATTTGCGCAAGCCACAACCAAGCCTTCTTCAAATCAAGACAGACCATCAATATTTTTGCCCACCTGGAGGTTGAAGAGACTTCCTGTTCAGTTGCCAAGATTTGAGAACGTCGTTCAAAATGCAACATTGCTCCTTTCCCAGTGAGCAAACACACCCGCAACTATTTTTCATCTCAGCTCATCTTGATCCACTCAGTTACTTCAGGACATGTAGGCAAAAGATCAGAGAGTCAGAAGATGTAGGGCTACATATCAGAGTGGGGGAATAGGAAAGGAGGGGGAAATACGGTAATCAAGAGTTGTTATGGTGACTGGGGAAGTGTGCTAACAGTTAACACGTACTAAAGTGACCTTCAAAGAGGATGGCATCTCTCATAAAATGGAGGAAGAACCTTTGCCTGAGGAGTTAGTTCTTTGGTGGAAATGTGAATGTCTGTTTTTTCCATCTTTTTTATGAAAGACACAGATCCTCAGCAGGTTTCAACAGCTCAGCTGAAATCAATAACTCCGTGCTTAGTTATACCGACTGAAAATCTGCCTGCAAATCTGAGAGTATCATTAATGCCACAGCAGGCCAGCATATATTAATATGGCTGTTATTTAATCAGACAGGATTGTTTCATTTTGTTGAAAACTCTTCTTCAGGCTAGCAGTAAACCACAAAACTCTTTAAGTTGAGCAACGTGTTTGTGTGAATATGTCTAGGTCTTTATAGTCCCCCTCCCACCATAACATGAGAATGACCCTTAATAACACTTTCTCAAATTGCAACCCCTTATCTTCTGCTTTTAAAGATCAAGACAAAATTTGGTACGTGTCAGCATTTCTTTCCTGTATATTGTCAGGAGCTACTATATCTCAGCACATTTGAAAACTAGATGGCTCTGTACAGATTTACAATATAAGCCTAATCCTTGGCAACCATGCTAGAAATTTTTGGTCTAGATACCTTCCAGTCTTGCATACTTACAGGTATAGTAGCACTATTGCCCTTGCATCTCTGAACACTGGGGACCCAGGTGTCAGGATTCTTTGTTGGCACTGTCACTATGCTTCTAAAGGTAAACCATTCTAGTGGGAAACTTTTCTGTGTAGGGATCTATCTGTCTGACTAGTCTTATGATTTTAACAGTTTGACTTATCCATGAGTTTTTTCATTTCATTATGTTCTGCCATTTGGCTTGCGAAGAGTATGTGTTTAACAGCTCCTGTGTCAAGAACTATGTCCAAATTTCTTCCTAATACCATCATCTGTTATGTTTGTCTTCTTTCTCCACTCTTTCTAACATCTTTTCAGGTCAGAGGCTACCCCGAGCCTCGGATCACATGGTACAGAAATGGGCATCCTGTCCCAGAGGGAGACCGTTATGTCGTGGACCACAGCATTCGGGGGATATTCAGCTTGGTAATCAAAGGCGTACAGGAAGGTGATGATGGTAAATATACCTGTGAGGCTGCAAATGATGGTGGGGTTCGTCAAGTGACCGTGGAACTGACAGTGGAAGGTAAGACGATACTTATACTGTTGCGATGGTTATATAGAGTTTAATTAAATGAACAAGCTGTGTTAAACTGTCTGGTTAAAATCACAACTGTACGCACATACTTTCTCACTGCTGCAAGAGTAAGATTGATTAATTGCATTTCACAGTTTAAGACATTTTGCAGGGAACTACATGTCTACAGCTAGATAAAGGGTGCATTCAGTTTCAGATGCCCAGGTAACAAAAGACCTAGTGTTAAAGACATTGCTATAAACTTCGTAATTTTCATGGAAGCCACCACTCAGGACAGATACAAAGGCGTGGAAAGTTAGCATTTTCTCTCAGGCAGTAATGCTTCATTGCTTCACAGATAGGCACGCTGAGGCAATGGGTTCCTGGAGTTCTCCATGCATTCTTCCATTTGCTGAACGCCTGGTTGTAATTGCATGCTTAATGTCACACAGGAAACAGCCAAGATCAAACTCAGGAATTTTTAAGAGAACATCTGCATATTAGATAGTTGCAAACTGCCAAATTTAAAATGTAAAGAGTGACACAAAGCCAGAGAAAGATGGAAATCAATTGTACTGATTCTCTCTTTCCTATTTTTTCATGTCAGAGCTCTGTTGAATACCAAAGCTCCTCAGGTCACAACTTTGTGCTGAATTCTTGAAGCAAAACAAAACTCTGCAGCAGTCCTGAAACAATCAGCATTTGTATTTGTTCAGAGTCAAAATCTCTAACAGATATCCTCAGAGTACATACTGAAATATGCATCGATCTGGCATGTTTGTTACTGCCTCCTGTCCTAAAAATTATGGAAAATCTCTTTTTTTTTTTTTTTCTCCTAGATTTAAGTTGTGACAACTTTTATGAGTGACAACTTGCACGGAGGTGGAGGTTTTTTAAAAGCTGGTTTTATATCAGGTTTTTTTGACCTAGGCTTAGCTGCAGATTAAAAGCAATTTCATGGCAGTACCCAATGACTGAATTTCTCAGAGTTTAAGAATTACACAGTCTTTATTCTAAAAATCCCTCTATGCCTCAAGATAGCAAAGCACAGGGTTTTTTTTCTGTTCTCAGCAAAGGTGGGGCTGACTGATACTTGAAAAACTGAGAGACTGAAACACAATGTAGTCTTTCTGTCCTGCATGGCTATCCTACCTGACAGTAATGTATATTCTTATAAGGCTCGAGAACAACTGTTTTTTTCACAGCAGTCAGAGCTGTTTGCTTCATGCTGCCACCCTGGATCTACTCCAGGTCACTATTTTTTAATGGGCCAAAGCTACCAGGAATGCTGTGTGCAGTAGATGGCGCTGAGCTTACACGACTTCGTACACATCTCCGTATTGCTAACACGAGCTAACGTGATGAACTATTGTCCTTCAAAAAGAATAAGTTTACAGAAAATCTAGTCTGGGCTGGCACAGGACTAATAAACAAACCCAGTAAAGTAAGACCTTTTTCAGAGTCCAAAAACCTTTTTTTTTTTTTTTTTTTTTTTGCTATCTTAATTCGAATTAGTGCTGCACTGTAGAAATTAGACACAGTGTTTCATTCACTTGTTTAAAAATATTTTTGCATTACTAATCTGCAGTGTTGTTACTACTGAGGTCAGGGGTTAGACGGTAACTGCTAAAACTTGGTTTTGAAATTGGAGAGCCTAACTACAGATGACATAACCTTATACCACAGGTGTTGCATTCCTCCTTTTTGTTTGAAAGCTGGATAAATGCATATTTTACATAGTCTTTAGTATCTGTAATTCCCAATGGTCTTGACAAAATTTCTGACTTCCTGTCTTCCTGTCCTATGCATACAGGAAACTCCTTGAAGAAATACAGCCTACCATCCAGTGCCAAAACCCCTGGGTAAGAAGTCTAAATGTGTTTTGGTAGGAAAACAAGTAAAATTACTCTTTCTAAAGAATAACCACATCTCCCCATTTTAAGTGCCTCCTGCATTTTGTCTTTTGCTCTGATTCACTTTGAGGGCCAGTCATAAAGGGTTGGATTCTTGTTAAGTTCTCAATAATTCCTCACTGGATACGTATCCCCAAAGCTCCTCACCTGTGCATGAATCAGAAGTAATGGAGGAAAGCAAAGCCTGGTGGTTAATGACTTGGTTCTGCATAGCATTGCATTGGAACAGAGTAACTGCTTGGCATGATTTCTCATACTTGTGAGACGGGGATAGCAAGAATGGCTGGGCTCTCAGAGGCAAGGCAGTACCAGCTACAGCAACATCTGAAAACAAACAGTTCGATATTTGTGAACTCAAATGCTCTAAGTCCAAATCCCCATTTATTGCAAGTGGAATGGCTACTCTGAGAGCTGCTGTGTTAGTAAAATTGTTGAAGCTGTCAGGAAGATATAAGTGGCTTGATACAGCTACTGCTCCCTCAAACTGACAGGAATTAATCTGTCTGAAAAGAGTACATTCTGCTGGTATCTGCAATATTACACCCTCTTGTCTCTGCTCTCTGATATTCAGAAATCTTTCTCCACATCTTCCATGACCTGACAGTCTCCTTACAAAGCCAGAGCAAATACTGCTTTAAAGACATTAGTAAGAAATAAAAGTAACTGAAATCAGCATTCTCTCAGAGTTACTTTAAGTATTTCCAGGCAACACAGTGGGTAAACTGTAGTGCAGAAGAAAGAATTGTTCAGGTTTGGAGTAACTGTTAGCAAGAATGGTTTGGAGTAACTGTTAGCAAGAATGGGTTGATGGGGTGATCTGCGTCAGCACATGGAAGAGCCTTCTTGCTGTCATGTACTTTCTGAACTTCAGTAAGCATTTACAATTGAGTGAATGCCACTCTTTTAAAAGCCCCAGACCTAATTCTTCCAACAGCTGAATTCATTTCTTCATAAGTTATCTTGAATTTAAGCAGAATTATTTCTGATTTATCTCCCTGGGAATGAGTTGCCCTGGATGTAGACAAAAATACATGTTTCTGATTATGTTACTGATCAGAATACAGATAGTTAAAACTTAAGTTTTTAATTTCATCATTGATATGAATATTGTTTATGTATGTTTTGAATTTTAAAATCGACTGAGATTACAACTGTGAAAATAGTAAGTGAAAGCGAGTAATCAGGAAGGCTTTTACATGATAATGTCTGTATCACAGATGTGCTACAGAAAAACACACATGCTACATAATCAAAGCAAGAAAGGACAGTCAAGGTTGCTGTTAGGTTTTGTTGTACATTCAGACTTCCCAAAGCACTATCCTAATCCATTGTGTTGCGTGGACTTAGAGTCGTTGTCCTCATTTTTCATTCTCATTTGTTTTACTCCTATTCAGTATTAATAATTTTATGATATGGAAAGCTTATGCCTTATGTAAACAGGAAGGAAGGAAATAAAATATATACTTTTCAGATTCTGTATATCTAGGAAACAGCCATGAAGCTGCAGGCTATCTAGTGGTTGTTTTTCTTTTCATGCATTAATAAATGTGTATGGATATATAAATGTAGAAATAATACCACCTAAAGACGATCACTAAAAGACTTCTTTAATACAAATTTATGCTCTTCTTTAGTGGTAGCATAAGGACAATGACATTAAAAAAATATCAGGTATTTAATTATATGATGAAGTGTTTTTCATTTTAGCATATTACAGTCACCCTTCTCTCCCAAGACTTTTTCCTGGTCCTCCTGTCCATGTAAATCCTTTCATTATAGTATCGTCTCTCAGAAACTTCAAGCTGCCTGTATGGCAACCAGCATGTCTTGGCAGCATCTTGGATTAAGGCGATGCAGTCTCTGTTAGTATCTGACACCTGGTAGAAATGGTGAGGTATTGATACATCTTACTCACACATGGTAAAAGGCCATCTGGAAAAGAAGGCCTTGAAAATGGTTCCGTTTGCTTGAAATAAAAGGTTAAAAAAAAAAAAATCACCATCTGCTTATGTGTGTCTTTCTTGTACCAGGACTTCAGAGCAAAGACTGTGAGTGTTCCCTTTGACATTAACAGACCTGAAGTTGCACCTTTTTTTTTTTTTTTTCTTGCTATAGTACCGCTTGATGTTTTATGTTTTACAGCTGTCTAACTGAGGATTTTGGACGGCAATCACTGATGTCACTCTAGTTTCATTCCACATGTGGTTTCCCAGCTGTGCCACCCCTATAAGTAGAGCTGGGCGTTTATACTTAATAGACATTCACCCAGGATGAGTGTACTTTGGTTTTGTGCCCTTTTCACGTTTGCTTTGCAAACATTGTAGTGAATGAGATTCCAAACAGAAGCTTTCCCCAAAGCAAAATTCTTTACCAGGACATGTCAGAAATGTCAAATGTCAGCAAAAACAGGTTGCTGATTCATAAATCAGAAATTGCTGTGTCATTGCACTCAATGCCTAAACAAATTACATGATAAAGAACTGTGAGCAGTGAACAGGTATGCACAAATAATCTATTAGGAGGCAACTAAGAAACACAAAATGGGAAAAACTAAATGCATGCAGTGTTTCCTATCTTTGGTTTGCCCAGCTCTGGTTAAAACCAGCTGAAGTTGTCCCCAGATCTGTTATGCGAGTTATGTGTATGTTGGATGTGGGTGTGTAGCATCATACTATTCAGTTGCACGAGGAGTCAAGAGCAGTCAACACCAGCATTTCCATTTCTTCCATTGGCCAAAAAAAATATTGTGTAACTACAGTCTTGGTTACCACCAATTATATACCCTTGTTGGCAGGAAATGCTTTCTGAAGTGTGCTCTAACCACAACAGCTTCCAGTTCTTGTATAAAACCAGGATGTCAATTGCCTTTCCAGGGGAAGACTTACTGTTCCATCTGTGGAGCATAGGCCAAGCATCTGGGGAGAGAGTCCACCCAAGTTTGCTACAAAACCCAATAGAGTCGTTGTGCGTGAAGGCCAAACAGGCAGATTCTCATGTAAAATAACAGGACGACCTCAGCCTCAAGTAACTTGGTTTAAGGTATGATTTCCCAAAAATTCTTGTTTTCTTTCTCTTTTGGAATTTTGTAACTTGGAAGGATGAAATGCACTTGCCACTGCAAAGTATCACAGTGAGAATTTACATACAAGTTCTTCCTCATTTTTCTGCTGAATAAGCTCACAAAATATAATAGCATTCCTTCTCAGTATAAACTTCTCCCTTATCTGTCTCATTGTTGAAAATATTAGTAAAAAAAAAAAAAAAACAAAAAAAACCTGAAAGCACCGAACAAGATCCAGGTTCCATTATAAAAATAGCCAGTACAGGACATACTTGGCCAAAGACCTTACTAACTATATAAGAGAAATAGACAAAGGATGGGAAACGTGAATATTATCATCATCTCTGTTTTATAGAGAAGGTCTGCAGGGATTTAATGCTTTGATTGTGGTTACAGAGGAGTCTCTGACAGCTGTGAAAATTAAAGCTGTAATTCCCAAGTTCCATGTCATCATAAACTGCCTTTTCTGTATCATTCACATTGGGTTTTACCTGTATATTAGGATGAAGATTATGTTTGCAAAGAAATTAAATTGAATTGAAAATAATATTATTTGTTTAGGAATTAACAGATATGATTGAGTTTTGGTGTGCATAGTTGTTTTTCGCAAATTAAATAAAGAAATCCAAGGCAGATGATCAACATTTCAACTGTTTCAGTCTGCCTTCTTCTGAAGCAGTAGTAGCAGAAAAGTGTCTGACATAAAATAAAGGAAACTTGAGCTGTCAACTTCAGATCTGCATTAAAGTTGGGAATTGTGGGCATTTGTCATTTACAAAAAAAAAGCAGCTTTAGAAATGAGCAATATTTAAAATTCATTAGACTATTAAAAAAGCATTGAAGATTTAAGTCCAATTGCCCCCTTTGGGTATATAAAAGATCTCCAACCACTTTTTTTTTTTTTTTTTTTTTTGTAAGGAAAGAGCTTTCAGGTGATAATTAAATATTATAGTAATTAGGCCAATTTTAGTGAAAATTAACATTTTAGAGAATTACAATTAGTTTCTTTAGTCTGGAAGAGCAAACATATGACTGCTCTGTTGGCATCCTTCTCCCTTCAGCCTTCAACAGACAGTTGCTTTATGTATAGTAAAGAAAAAAGCTTTTCTCAGAGAGCTTTTATTTTCTTCTAGTGTCTCCAGGTTTTCAGGGGGAAGGGGGAGAAACTGCAAAAAGCCCAGAAAACTGGGATATGCTTCCAAGTCATTGTCTGCTTTATTCCAGACTTATCCTTGTTGTCTGTAATACAAGCAGCCTCTTGCTGTGAAAGCACTCACTAAGACACCTCCTTCAGCTGGCTGCTCCGTCTAGACTCTGCTGCTCCCTCCAGCTGCTGTCAGTTTTGGGCAGGCTGGCTCTACGCAGTCTGCAATGCAGCTGCTCCACAACAGCCTGCTTCCAGACCCACCAGACTCGCTCAAGTTTTCCAGCCATGCAACTCAGTGTAAAACAGGGTTTGTCTTTCTCCTTGTTCAGGGCTGAATGGTAAACAGCATGTAGGGACTAACAATCCAGCAGCTTGGATCTACACTTTGGTACTACTTCATACATGTTTTTGCAGTGTGTTAGAAGTTCTATATTTTGCTACTGATTGTCAGCTTCTGTAATGTGTTATTCTATTATCTGGCATTCATTGTCTGATCAAATTAATGAAATATGCTAAGTTCTTGTTTTTAGCAGCTCCATGAGTTCTGTTCATGTTTATGTCCTTAAAATCATATTTCAACACTTGCAAGTCTGCATATATTATTCTGTAAATTGCCACAGGTGTGTTGATCAGAGGTTCAATGGTCATACCATTGCTGGACTGCAGACAACCAGTCCACTGTTTTGAACTTATCCTCAGTCCATCACTTTTGGTTCAACTGGTGTTCTTTAGGCTTTCATAATATTTTGGCACATATTTTGAGCACCAGAAGCTGTCTTTCAATAGCTAATATGCTCTGTAAAGTGCAAATGTGTTGTTGCTCTTTATCAGAGTTTTATTGTCAAGTTCTTATTGTGAAGCATATTTTTGCATCCCTGGTCATAAGGCATGGATTAACAGGTAATCATGCATGTGCTTGGCTAGCTGCAAACAAGCTCAGGCCCACAATGCTTCTGGTCATGTCAGAATGGTGCTGCAGGGTCCTGCTGTGTGGTAGGTATTTCAGCTTTGCCTCAGGATCATGGAAAGAAACTTACGTAGCTGCTGGACTACATCTGCCTAGTGCAGAGGCAAAGTGACCACTTTCCATACAGCATGGAAGCTTTAAAATTGCCGTTCTCAGAACTAATGAATAAGCTTTTGTGTAAATGTCTTATTTTGTTTATTGTTTTCTTTCCCCTTTTCTTACTTGTTAAGTTGCAAAGAAACTTCTACTGTATCACCACCAAAGTCCTGACATGAACTAGCTTTTATTATTCAAATAGGACTTACGGCACCCAGATAGCAGTAAGTTGGTAGATACTTCAGGAATGACAGTATTTGAAAATCCTGTAGTGTTTCCCCAATGTTTACTAACCAAAGTCCTACAAATCATAGATTTGTCCACTTTCCCTTCCTAAACTTAGGATAAGAAAAGCTGTGATGCCTGATAGCAAGGGACCCTAATGGCTGGTGCTAAAGCAGAAGCACTGATTTGCTCACAAATGAGGCATGGGTCAGTTATTTTGTAGAATTTAAAGGCAAAAATTGTCATTCTGATCGTCTAATCTATGGAACAGAGAGCATAAAACTACATGTGTTTCCTCCTGCCTCAAAGCCATACCTTTTGACTTAACTGCAGTGTAGCACTGCAAAGCAGCTGTGGTGCAGCAATGCCTCTCTTGGTGTATGCCTAGTGCCTTCTGCCACCTTCACCTGGCCACTGATGAGGTCCTCTTACGCCAATTTTTTTTCCAGCTCCTGAAGTGATACAGCATAAAGGAGCTACTGAGGGATAGAGAACTACTCCCCAACTTTGAAGTTTTTGCTTGAAAGTGTGATGTTTGACTTCCTGGAGCAAACATGAACAGAAAACTTGTTTGAGCCCACATACAATGAAAAGAAATTTTTCTAGGAATATGGATATAGTAAATAATGAAAAGCAAAAGCCAAACTGAGATGAGCACGTGGCAAAATGCAGGGAAAACCAGCTTCCTGCAGATACGAATTATAGAACTTTTGAACACAGTTTTTTGTTTATGCAATCTGAGTATTATTCATAGAAGGAATTTGGCTAAAAGATAGGAGAAAGACATTCTGATCTGATCTTTCACCAAAAAATATCTTGCTCCCTTCTCTTACCAACAGCTAGCTGTCTCATGGTGTCTTGTGACGTTTGCAGGGTGATACTCAGTTGCAGCAAAATGAGCGTTTCAACATGTTTGAGAAAACAGGCATCCAGTTCTTGGAAATCCAACATGCTCAGCTTGGTGATTCAGGAATTTACACATGCATGGTGATAAACAGCGCTGGGAAGGCATCTGTGTCTGCAGAGCTCACCGTTCAAGGTACAGCAAAGAGTTTACAGGAGAGAGCAGAAGTGAACCACAGACACTCCTTTAAAATATCTTTGGTTGTGTTCTCAGTATAAGCATTCACTTTTTCACATTATCTTCCTCTCTCTTCATTAAATGATACTGTGAAAGCTTGGAGCATGCTACTGCTGAAAACACGTTGGTTCAATGGGAAAAAGGCTATGCTTTGCAACATCTTTTTTAAAAGCAGCTTTGCATTCGTGATTTTGACTTCCATATGTTTTGAGCATAGATTTTAATTTCAGCAAATGGAAACCTTGCTCTTGTCATTATAATCAGAAATTAATTTTGTATTTGTTGAGTACCAACACCAGATATACAATTTATACCAGCTTGCCTTTTGGGAAACAAAATTGTATTTATATTTGTAGACCGGGAAAGTGAAGTAAAGGAGCATAACTCTATGCCGTAAGAGAGAAAAAACAGCTTAATGAAATGAACATTCAGGCTCTTCAACTCCCAACCCTGCCTTATTTCACTGCTGTTAAAGGAAATAAATGTCTTTGCATAAATAATTTGGGAAGTTCTATTCCACATATGTGTTACCACATACAGTTCCTTTTGCAGTTTGATACTTCTTAGGGTACCCTTTGCGTCAGCCTCAAAATCATACAGTCTTCAGCAACCACACTAAAGAGAAATTTCCTCAGTCAGTGGGTAACCAGTCACTGGACCCAATTAAATCAACAGTGCTGGATTCAGCTGCAGTCATAAGATCAGTGGGGTACATACGCACCCAGCAGTGAATTTGTTGATGCAAGATTTTTAGGTTTACAACAATGCTGTCACTCTGTAACATGTCAAGAATATAAATAACAGGAAGATTTATATTTGGGGTCCTCAGAACCACAACCAGCCCTTACCACTTAGAGCTCTACTTTTTATCTGTGAGTTCCAATCTGGTGAAGCCATATAACAGGAAGATTTATATTTGGGGTCCTCAGAACCACAACCAGCCCTTACCACTTAGAGCTCTACTTCTGTGAGTTCCAATCTGATGAAGCCATTGTAGAAGGAGCTAATACAGGTTGCCTATTCAACTGATGTTTTATAGAAAGGGCCATTTTGTTCAATAAGCCTTTTTTTAAACATGAAACTTGATCCTTACTTGCTCTCACTGAAGTGGTGAGCTTTCTGTTGTGTAATGGGTACATCTGCCTTGAGAGATGATGCGGAACTGGGGTCACAAAGTCAGCTGTGCTATATGTTTGCTTCACATGCTGACCACATCTCTGAATAATGCAGGCATTCTTTCTTGGATTAGTACAGGTCAGTAAAAAGGGCACTCTCTTGCAATGTACTTGACTAATCGGATGATTCCACTTACCTAATTCTTTCATTATCAATTAAATCATGCCATAAGAGTTGCTGCAAGATTTTAGCAGACTATCAAGTGGCTCAGAATTACTATATTTTCTTTTAAATCCATGCAATCTCATATATAGATAATCTTGTTCCAAGAGGTACATTTTTTTCTCCAAGTTCCCATAGAGGAAGGTGGAGAGGGAGGGGGAAAATGTTTTTTTAATTGACAGGGTTGCATGGTATTGTCTTGTCTGCAACCACTAGTTATTCAGCTTCCTCTTCTGCATTTATCTAGTCTCTTTTCAGCTTTAATTTTTATGTGAAGAACTTCTATTACTGTTTATTGACAGGTTTATTGAAGTGAGGTCAATGGGTTATTTCCCTCTCTCACTGCAACTTTTGTGTGTGTGTAAATAGATTCTTTTGGTCACTCTGAATGGTGCGGTAAGTCCAAGCATTTAGATGTGGATTTTTGCTTGCAAAACACTGTGGAAATCAGGGTATCATCCATCACATGTTTTTGTGTTTTCCCTGAGGCAAAGACTCTGAAAGCATTTTTATGGAATATTTGTTGATGACTTGCAAAATTCATTATCTTGCAAATTCATTAGCACATGTCTTTCTACTGTAGTTTCTGGTCTCACAGCTGACAACAGCACACATGCAACTTTGATCTGACCAGGAGAAAACAAACTGCATCCTGTAGCGTTAACTAGGGAAAAAATTAAGAGATGTGGCTGGTACTTGATTTGGAGAGGTATTTCTATCCTCCCAAATATGTATTACCTTATGCTGCCCCCAAGAGAAACAAATGCTGTCAAGGTTTGGGAGAATGTATGGAGGATTAAGTACGTATGAACTAAGAGATTGACTATGGGCAAATACGTGCTCAGTTGTATCAATGAAGCTAATGAGGTACCCTGACAAATCAGTATAGCTCAGCCATGTTCCCACAATTCCTGGTTTGTCTTTCTCCACTTCTACAAGATCTTCCGAGCTCCCATAAGATTTGATGAGCTGCCTCCCACTTGGAATCTCTTCCTTACTTCTCCCCTTCAACAAGGAGCCTTTAAGGCCCACAGAACCTTTGGTTCTAAAGGGACTGGAGAACTTAGTTGACCCAGTGTTGTCTCAAAATGGACCAAGACCTCTTTGTCTTTCAGCTGAGCAGTTGGCTGTTGTCCCATAGCAAATTTCAGGTCTGGTGATAGTCAATCTTGACTTGGAAGGATTGAAAATATGAAGAGTGAAGGTTCTTAAGTACATTTGTTGCTTAAAATCTTTCAAATTTATGGAATTACATACAGTATTGTCTGTATAAGTTACCTGTTTTTTCTTTTTTTTTATTTCAGGTCCAGATAAGACTGACATATATGCTCAGCCACCATGGTATGTTTTTACTGGACTGCTTTCCCAGAATATTTAATTGCAGTACACTAATTTTGACATTTACTGCATGATCCTTCATTACAAAGTGGTAAATCTTTTTGGGTCAGTCTGTATTTGGAAGTTAGAAAATATTTACCCAGAATGAGATTCTCTCTTACAGCCAAATTCAGCTGTCCTGGTAGAATCCTATGAAATAGTTGGTGGAACTGGTGACAACACTATGAAGTACAGAGTTCTGGTCTGGTTCAGGAAAGCAAAATTTAGATGACTTTATGCTCACTGTTCCCATGTAGCCAAATAGTTATATAATCTGAACAAAAACTACATGAGGAGAAATTATACTCTGTACCAATTGGTCAAACTTCCTTTTTGGAGTCAAAAGCCTGCATGCATCTTGTCAGTACTGAGCTGGTTGCTCCTTGCTGACAAGGAAAATGTGGTATGGCCCTGGTCTGTGCAGTTGTCTGAAAATACATACAAAAGTATGGGTAAAGTAAGAAGAAACAAAAAATTTTGTATTTCATGGCTTTATCAAGATTCTTAAACTTAAATGGCTATAATTTTTTAAAAAATGATTTTGTAAAATGGCTTTTCTTCATAAATACAAAATGTAGGAATGAAATGTTCTTGTCTCTGTAAGACACTTTGATGAAGGCCAGCTGCTTTACAGTCTTCAAGTTGTTTAATTTACCCTCACAGGCCCTGACTGGGATTTCAAAATGTCGTGTTTACATTGTCTTAACTCCATGTCCACTGTAAAGTGGATCTGAAAGTGCTGTGCTACCTTGTTTTTCAGGTCTGTGTGATTTTTAGGAACATACTTCAAAATAAGTTTAGTGTAAATGAAACTGTGCAGCTCTACACCCAGAACTCCCCGTGTACTGGGTTCTCCAGAGTATTTTTGCCTCCTCCATCATTTATTCACAAAAAAAAAAAAAAAAAAAAAAAAAAAGAGAGAGAGAGATGCTTTGTAAAATGTAAAAATCTTACAGTTGTAACTGCAAATCTCATAGGCATTATTTCTCTAGTACATTTAACTCTGGCTGAAGAAAGAACCACAATATCCTGAATCTGCCTGAGAGAATAAGTCAATGGCACCAAGTATAGCAAAACAGAGCTGGGCTAGAAATTACTTCCCGTATTTCAGATATGTTCAAATTCTGCCTTGGAATAATACTTTGGAAGTATGAGAGACAGACACAGTGCTCTACAGGTAATAGCTTAGTGGTCAGGGCAGTTAACTTCAATGAAGGAAACTTAGATTCAAGTTCCCAGTTAGTCAGCTACTCTTGTGCCCTCAAAGTCCTGAGCAGCAGATCCATTATAATTCTGAGAAGTTCTTATAATAGAACCATAGATGATATTGTTACGTCCAGTCAATTAATATTTTTTTTTTACAATACTCCCTCTCCCTCACCTAGCCTTTAGTCAAGTTTCCTGATCAGTCCTCTTTTGAAATCACCTAAGTTACAAGACACCATAATTAGAAATAGTAATTTCACTGCACAATTTACATTGTCATTTCCCTTTAGGGAACTATTTTATGTATATGAGCTATAATTATACATGGCCCCAATTTATTAAAGCATGAAGTAGTGTTACACCATGGTCATTCCAGGGTGTTGCATAATTGCTCTCTATCTAAATCAGTGTATTTAGGGTTAGTGCCTGATGCACAAAACATGTCAGAACCTGAGCAGTGGATTTGTATCTAGAAACTACTCAGTTCAGACAGTGTCTGAGCCCTGGTCATGTTTTATGAAACTTTTAACTTCACCTCTTTCACAGTGTTCTTAACTGTGTGAAGGAAACTAAAGGCTAATTAGTTTACCTTTTGCTAAGGGTTTGTACATTTATATAATTGCTGAAAATAATTTGTCTTTATACAGTGTCATATATCTGTATATCTGTAAACTTATAATTTTCCTCCAGCATGCCATCAAAACCAGCAACACTTGCTGTTAAAGCCGTTGAAAATTCAGAATTCAAACAGGCAACTAGCAATGGGATTGCTAAAGAGCTGAAATCCAGCAGCACTGAACTCATGGTTGAAGCCAAAGACAGCATGTCAGCAAAGAAAGAGACCTTCTACATCACCAGAGAAGCCAAAGACAGTAAGCAGGGACAGCACCAAGAAACCAATCCAGTGTCTCCTCAAGAACTCAAAGAAGGAAAAAAGGGATCTCAGGTCTTGCAGAAAACTTCAAGCACCATCACACTACAAGCTGTAAAACTGCAACCAGAACCAAAGGCAGAACCCCAGGACTCTTTCATGAGGCAGGGTGAAGACAGGAAAAGGGCTGTGCAGCCCCTGATGTCAGCTCAACAAACCCCATCCCTGACAGGACAACTCAGTCCAAGGAGCAGAGAAGCAGAATACAGATGTGGAACCCGGAAGGCTGTAATGGAGGAGAAAAGGGAGCCTCTCGGAATTCCCCCTCAGTTTGAGAGCCGTCCACAGAGCCTGGAAGCATCAGAAGGCCAGGAGATTAAATTCAAGAGCAAAGGTAAAGGGATGAAAGTTATCAGAGTCCTGTGGTTAGTCAGGTTCCCCTTCTGTGTGTGGAAGTGGAGAAGCAATTCTTTCTTCACTGCAAGTGGTCCTCCTCCTAAAGCATTTTTGAAATAGATACAGAATCTCATGCTGTTTCCACAATACTCTCCTCAATTAAATTTTCAAATCATTCCGTATCATAGTGTCCATCCCTTCTCTGATCTGGGGTTTTCCCAGATGTAATCAATGTCACTTTATCTAGGAGGTAGTTTTAGGGCCTTTTATACAAGGATGCAAGAGAGAAAATGGATGGTATGCTTTCCACAACCATAATTCGTTATCTTGCCCTTGAGCCAAAAAAAATATCAGATATATATATATAACTACGATCAGTCACTGCATTTCCCTTGAGGCATCTACTTTTACCCCTCATATTTGGTCAACCCAGTGCTGACCTGGGTGCTTCCCAACAGCTGAAATGATAAAGTCAGAATTAAAAAGGAGGTTTAGAGTTTGCTCCACAGAATTTAACTGGGTTTTAACCTCTCAGAAGAGTAATGAGAGCTGCATTTTGCTGAACCCAGGGAGTAGACTTGGAACACTTTTTTAAAAATCATAATTCTAGTAGAAAATAATTTTGAAGCATTTTTCTGCTATTTTTTTAAAATAACAGTCACACCTTAAATTGTTCCCACAAGTGAGAGAGAAATTGGTTTTTGTCTCTGGAGGAAAAAAAATCACAACAAAACCATGGTAATTTATTTCATTTCTTGGTAGTTCTAACCCCATGAGTGAAGAATACAATTTATATCACAAGCCCAGAGAGTAAGGAGGGGAAAAATATTCCAAAGATCCTGGCATCTTTTGAATACTTTTTTTTCTAGGTATATTAGTACGAAGAACATGGATTGCTTTCCATCAGAGCATCCCAAAAACTTTGCAAGGTTTAAATAATTCATGGTCCTGTTTGGTAGGGAAATATAGTCCCTATTGGACAGAAACCAAGGAGATCATTCAGTTCTTAATGAAGCCAGTGAATGCCTTTTCATTTGGCTTTGGACACAAACTCTTATACGCAAAGGCAAGGTGTCTGTAGGGAAGTTACAGTGGAATGTCCCTAGTGCACTTCTATTAAATAATCCAAGAAACTCTCTTTCTTGAGAATCCCCTCCAGAAAGGGAGATGAGGGTTGCTTCCTGGTTGCAACGGACAATGGAAATGCTCTTACAACCTTAAGGAGGCTTCTACCTGCCAGGCTGTCAGCTCAGCATGCTTCTGGGTCTGCATAGTTACTGCAAAGCATCCAGGTTCTTTGACAATTCTGGGCTTGATTTTTTTCTTTTTTTCCCAGCTTTTGGAGGTTCTCCCACCTCCACTGTTCTTCGCTAATTGTCCATGGATTCCAGTGTGCACTTCTTCTTCTGAGCAGGAAAGAGAATCTTTTCTAACTAATAGCTTCTAGTTTCTAGTGAAGAAAATTCACAGAAAAAGGACATTTCCTGGTTTCCAATGTACACAATGGGCATTCTATTTTTTGCCTCATTCATGGGTGTAATGGTAGCCTGCTCCCTTCCAAATTTTTGAAATTTTGTATGGAGTTGGAGCTGAATTTGGGGACTCTTCTTTTTTTTTTTTTTTTTTTTTTAAAAAAAGAAAAAAGAAGAAATTCTTTGTTTTCCTATTTCTAGACACTTGTAGGGTCCTGCTTCTAGCTAAGGGTTTTTCTTCTTGATAAGTCACTCCCCTATCCTTATATTTTCTCTGTTCAGAAGGGTTTCCAGCAGTATATCATATGTCTTTGTTGTGGATATTCCTGCCATCTTTTACTGTCTGTACCTTCCTCTGAGGCTGAGCACTCTTGCTATAATGAAATGGATAGAACTGCGAAGGAACATCAGCAAGGTGGAAGCCCCAGAGGGCCTTGCTTGCTGAAAATAAGTGAAGGATGGAGTGGGTGACCTTTTCTGGCATTCTTTCCTAACCTCTACTCTTTGCTCATCATAGCAACTGTCCCATGAATCCCTGACTTCCCTCAGCACTACTAGGAGCCAAATCTTGTTTTCTAGAGCTCTAACACAGGCAAATCAGGATGTGAAGCCACTGCTGTTTTGCTTCTGCTCCATGAAAGTTTATTGTCCTAGAAGCTGCCTGCTTTGCTTACACTTAGGCCCTAGTTTGGAAAAAAATACCCATAATCACAGAATGTTTGAGGTTGGAAGGGACCTCTGGAGGTCATCTGATTCAACATCCCTGCTCATGCAGTGTCACCTAAAGCAGGTTGTCCAGGACTATGTCAAGGTGGCTTTTGAATACCTCCAGGGATGCTCCATAACCTCTCTGGGCAACCTATGCCAGTGCTTAGTATCACTCTCAGTAAAAAAGTGTTTATGTTCAGACCAAACCTCCTGTGTTTAATTTTGCTCTCATTGCCTCTACTCCTGTCACTGGACACCACTGAAAAGAACCTGGCTCCATCTTCTTTACAGCCTCCCTTCAGATATTTATATACATTTATAAGATCCCCCTGAAGCCTTCTCTTCTCCAGGCTGAACAGTCCCAGAATAAGCAACCTCAGTGGTAGGTAGTGTGGACTGCAAAGTACTGCTACGTGCACAGAGAAACCAGTTTAGCAGGGTAGGAAGGAATGGGGAGAAATTTCTTTCTTTCTTCTCTAATATCTCATCACATCCATTTTATCTGTGACTTTTAGAGGAATAATTTTCAGAGAGAAGTGTTTGGGTTTTTTAAGTTGCCAAATATTTGCTATTTTAAAAGATGGACTGGCCAAGATGTTTGGGAAGATCAGAAATATATTTTTGAAGATAGTTTTGTGTATTACTTGCTCTTTAAAGTTTATATAATTATGTATGTCTAAATTACACCTAATTTACACTAAAACAAATAATGGAATTACACTAAGAGGAATATCTGTTAATAAAAATTCAAATACCTGATTGTCTAGTTTCAGGAAAACCAAAACCAGATGTGGAGTGGTTCAAAGAGGGTGAACCTATTAAAGCTGGAGAAGATGTACAAATATATGAAGAAGATGGAATTCATTGCCTATGGTTAAAGAAAGCCTGTTTGGGGGACAGTGGATCTTATAGCTGTGCGGCTTTCAACCCCAAAGGCCAGACTTCCACCAGCTGGTTGTTAACTGTCAGAAGTAAGTTCTTGTGAGCCTATTTGCACTTTGAAAACTGGCTGGGCTTTTCTAAGCTGTAAGAGTGTGGTGACTACAAAATGTCTATTTCAACATCTCAGTCCAGGTTACTTCTGATTCATAGCTCTGTGAATAACACAGTGTGGGATAACTGGCAAGCCACTTTCCACATCAGATTTCCTTCTGACCTTTTGTTTTCATTGTTTGTGTAGTTAAAACCATCTCATTGAATGTTTTGTACACACAGAGGCCTGTTCTCCACTGAGGTTTTCTATTAATGCTTGTATTTAATACAGGTTGCCAAAGATTTTGTTGTTGTTCTGCATTCAGTTCTTTTGGAGTTGCTTAGCATTTCTATAGGACACTGCACATCTGAAGTATTTTGTGAGCACAAACTAGTCCTGTGCATTAAAGTGAATAAGAAAAAAAGTGAAGAAATGAGAATTGCATTCTGCTAAACTCATGTGCGCTTCCCAGTGACATATTATTTTGAGCTTTAGGGTACTGTCTTACTGGTCTGGTTGAAATATTTGTTACCTTCTTAGCAAATCCTGTCCTCATTTCTAATCTTTTCACCTGGTTTTAGGTTTTGTCCTGGAGCTATGATCTTGTTTATGCAACTTTTCTCTATTTGCTGTGCCTGAGGTTACCCAAGATACTCTCTCTCTGTCTCATGAGAGACCCGTAAACTGCATCCTTAAATCACCCTGTTTCACTGCCAGCCAGGGGAAATTTGGGAGAGGGACTGGGAGAAGACAGATAAGAGGAGAGAAGAATTATCATTCCTGTTCTTTGCGCTGAGCTCTGTGGTAATACATTGTGTACACTTCTAGTGAAGACCCGTAAACTGCATCCTTAAATCACCCTGTTTCACTGCCAGCCAGGGGAAATTTGGGAGAGGGACTGGGAGAAGACAGATAAGAGGAGAGAAGAATTATCATTCCTGTTCTTTGCGCTGAGCTCTGTACATTGTGTACATTTCTAGTGATTGGCTGCAAATGGTGGTTTCTGGCTGTCTAAGATACACCTTGAGGGCTGGCAGTGTCTGCCTTGTAGATTAGAGATTTATACCAGTACGTTGCTCAAAGCTATTTCTGTTTCCCAATATGACATTTCATCATGGTTTTCATTCTTTTTTTTTTCTTTTATGCTTGTTTGCATGGGATGAATCTGTTAGCCCAGCCGTGTCACCTAAACATAACTAGAAAAAGTCACCAAGTTGTAAAGATAATTTTGTCAATTTGGGTTAAATGAATTGTTTTCATTTTGATTTTAAAGGACCTAAAGTTCAAGAAGTTGCTCCATGCTTTTCCAGTGTCTTGAAAGGATGCACTGTGAGTGAAGGGCAAGACTTTGTGCTGCAGTGCTGTGTAGCAGGCACACCTGTGCCTCAGATCACATGGCTTCTCAATGGTAAGGAATCCCCGGGTCTGCGATATGTGCACGCATGCACTAACATCCACAGTCACAAATGCTGCTCTGATCAGTGCATAGAAAGGCTGTGAATACTGCACAAAGCACGCTAAATCACTGTAATATAATCCGCCAGAATATTTGAAGAAAAACAGTTTGTATGCACATAATATGCACAAAGGGTGGTTTTCTTGTTTTCTAACTTACTGCAGTTTTCCAGTATGTCCAGGAGAGGACTCTGTTGACAAGATTGTACGCAGATGCGTTTCCTGGGTTTTGGTAAACACAGCTTTTCAGCATGCTGCAACAAAGTCTCCGTTGCTATTTCGTGCTGAATCCTGTGCTAGCCCCACTCCTTTAGCACTAGCCTCTGCTCTGAGAGTAATCGATTGTCATCATGATCCTGCAGGGATAAGAAGATCTACGCAAAACAAGTGCAGTATATCACTTGTAACAGCAGCAGGGAAATCCATGCCCGATTCCACCCTTCCATCGGCTGGGCAGATCACGATTGGTATTAGCAGCTATGTCCCCAAGATCGTAAAATCACAGCTTTTCTGGTTGCTTCTCTGCTATAAATATGTTCCTTTAGATTCTAACACTTGTCTAAAGCTGACTAAAAAAAAGGATAAGTAAATTTTTTTTTTACTTTTATCAGACTGCAAAATCTACGCTGCCCCGATTACACAACTGAACATGAAAGTTTCCTTAAACGTCTCCTCTTAATATCGGAGTTGGGCCCAAACATGAGCGTTTTGCTTAGATTCCAAATTATTTCAGAGATCCAGGGACTACACACCTTGGCTAAGGACTCTTTCCATTTAGAGCCTTATCCATTAAACACTAGATACATTTATTCAGCTTAACCCTTGATCACCTCTATTACTCCTGAAGTGCAATTGATTTTTCGCAGATTCTTCCAGGCTATCTATCTTTGGGTGTACGTGTGTGCGTGTGATTTAAAGACAAAGAATACATACTTTGACAGAAAGATGTTTCCTCCAGGATTGTTTTAAGATTAAGTATTTGCACATGATCTCTGTTTTTCTTTAGCTACTCAAAGCAAATAGGATAACTCAAAAAGGTGGCAGGGCAAATGAACTCTGACCTTGAGACTGGTATGTTCCCACAGCCTGGTCTGCTCCCCTTCCCAATAGCTCCATGTCTAGAATAGAAAGGCCACTGCTTTATTTACAACACGAAACATGTGAGTAAAGGCTCTGACACTCTCCCATTGGAAATAATTCGTTTCTCTGTCTGAAGGCTGCTCTGCAGTTCCTCCTTTGCAAACATGAGTAGAATCACTGTTTTGCTATGCAAGATTTGTGTATGTTTCTGTAGGCCTCCAGTAAGCACTGTGCCCTCCTGCCTTTTTTCAGGATGTTTGTTCTGCATTGACCTTTCTTCTCACTAACCTCACAAGAGTCTGCCCCTATTCAGGTATAACTGTGCTTGTATTGCATCCAAGCTCCAAACTGCAATTGGATCAAGAACACAAGGAGGCAAAAGCAATTGGGTTTTTTTTTCTGATAGTTGTATTTCAAACCATTAGGTGAAAGCCAGTGCATTAACTCTGCTCTTAAATCAAAAGGCAGGGATGAGTCTGAGTAACAGAAGCACAAGAAACTATCCTAATAAGAAAAATTAGGGACTTTATATATTATTCTAAAGATACAAGCACACTACTTTCATTCCAGACTCCTGAAACATACCACTAAATTTTAATGTTTTTCTGTCTTGCATTTGATTGTGATACATATATAGCATTTTGATATGAACTTGAATGGATTATAAACAGTAGTTTAAAGCTGGTCATTCCATGTACACTCTTAGGGTCATTATTTTACCTAAGGATCAAAATAACTATTGTGATATCCATTTGAATGCAAACATTTCCTTCCTGTCTACCAGCTAGCTAGATACTACAAACTTCTCATATATATATCCATTACAAAATAACAAAGAATGTTGTGTTTCTAGTCCTGAAATACTACTCCAAGCAGACATAACAATGTTTTTGGCAAAATGACATGACGGAGTCTTTCATCAACTGGCCATATGAAGAAAGCACTATATTCATAGTATATAATTTAAGGCAGGCAGATAAATTTTGTTTTTAAAAAAGATGTATTACAATCTGCTGTCCATGCTTGGAATATAAAGCTTTTCAAGTACACAGCTGATAGACTGTGGCAGAGGAAAAAGCAATCTGCTGAGAGCAATCACACTACTGTTCAAACTGTAGCAATTTTGCAGAACTCCATAGAAATAAAAATCATATGGGACACGATGTGTAAAGGTCACAAGCAAATATCAAATGCAAATTGTATTCCAAGCATGACAATGATGACAAACTAGAATTAATTTTTGAAAGGAATAGTGAGAAAAGTATGTATATCTTGATGAAATAATGAATATAAAGACCAAGTTATCAAATAATAGGAAACATGAACAGAAGGCTGCTTTGAGAAACAGAGAAAAAAAAGAAAAAAAAAAAAAGCAGAACAGTCTGACTCCTAGGCTAGCCAGCCCTTAATACTGGACAGCCTGTGTGCTGCCCAGTCTGCCTTCCCGTGAACTCCAGGCAATCACATGAACAGAAGGCTGCTTTGAGAAACAGAGAAAAAAAAGAAAAAAAAAAAAAGCAGAACAGTCTGACTCCTAGGCTAGCCAGCCCTTAATACTGGACAGCCTGTGTGCTTCTGCCTTCCCGTGAACTTCAGGCAATCCACACCACCTGAGAACTACAAAACTTGCAATAACTTCTTGTACAATGTTACATACAAGTACTACTTTAGATATTGAGCATTTTTACCAACTGTGACTGCATATATGAATTTAAAACACTTTCCAAGCCATTATATAGATTGGCCTCTTTTTCAGGTCAACCAGGACAAAAATAGATGATGTATGCTGTGCATTGCCTGTAATTACTTCTTAGCATCTGTGAGGATGAGTAGTTTTTCCGTGTTCACAGAGACTGCACAAATAAGAGCCACCTGACCTAACTATGGATTTTATTTGAGCTCTTACTCTTCTCTGCGGTTCTACCATCTTCAGTTTCTTTCTTATACTTTTTTCCCATTTTAATGATTTAAAAGTTTTTTTCCAACATTTTCAAGACAGTTCTTTTGTCCTGTTGCTCTCACTCTGCCCTTTAAGTTTCTTTATGAATTTTCACTTGATTTACTGGCAAATTCCCCGAAAGTGTGTTTTAGTTCTGGCCTCACCAAAGCCTATAAAGAACTTTTTGCATGTCCTCTCTGTGACAACACTTCAGTATGTAACTCCAATTTACTTTACTTCTTTGAATATTTTATTAGTAACTTAAACTGCAGCAATAGGGCTTATATGACTGCAGTTTAAATATGCTTTCTGTGTGGGTTTTTTTCCCTAAGTTGCATTGAGCCACTTTCTGCTGAATTTTAAAAGAATATGACCATGACTTTAGTATAACAATTCTCTGAGTAGTGTTTGGTTTTAGGATAGCTTTCTGATCTGTCCAGAAAGCTTTTAATAAATGGGCCAGGGGAAAATTTCCTTTCTTCTGGCACAACATGCCAGCAGAAAGGTATTTTTTGTTATTGTTCCTGCTGCCAAGCTGTCATGGAGATTTGACTGTTCTGTCTCTAGAGAAAAGAACATTTCACTACTGGGAGGGTTGTTTTTATTAAATGAAGATATAAGTACAATGGACATAATTTAGAATCTTGCTGTAGGTTATTCCTCAGGGCTGACATACTTGTGTTTGTTTTCTGGGGTCTGATGAAAAGGCCATTCTGTAAGTGAATTCACTATTCTGTGAACAGTGTTAAAAAATAGTCACAGTTTTTTTGGGAGCTGGAGTGAAAAAGAGGATGCCCTGACAAAATTTGAGGACATGGTGAAGGAGACCACATTTTCTTTTTCTACATAGAACACTTACCCTATTCATTTGCTTATTTATGACAGAAATAAAAAGGCATTGTTCTATTTTTGATGATGCCGCTTTCATCCTGAGTGTATTTCTGAATCATCATAGCATCATTAGGTACTATTAATAGTTCCTTTCATCCTGAGTGTATTTCTGAATCATCGTAGCATCATTAGGTACCATTAATAGTTTCAATGTCAGAATCACAGACAGGATCCCTGTCAGTCAGATGAGGAAGACAGTCCAGCGCCCCATGTGCTCTTACAAAAAGCTTTGTCTGCTTGGGCTTCAGCACTACACGTACATATTTGAATGGAATGTTATTCCCGCATGAAAAAAATACAGATGAGGAAGACAGTCCAGCGCCCCATGTGCTCTTACAGAAAGCTTTGTCTGCTTGGGCTTCAGCTCTACACATACATATTTGAATGGAATGTTATTCCCGCGTGAAAAAAATATGTGATTGGACCTAATAGTTACAACAGTCTGTGTGTAGCTGAGTAAAAGGGAGCTCAGAGGAACTAGTCATAAATACCTGTGACCTGTGAAGAGGGACAGTCCAGCGCCCCATGTGCTCTTACAGAAAGCTTTGTCTGCTTGGGCTTCAGCTCTACACATACATATTTGAATGGAATGTTATTCCCGCGTGAAAAAAATATGTGATTGGACCTAATAGTTACAACAGTCTGTGTGTAGCTGAGTAAAAGGGAGCTCAGAGGAACTAGTCATAAATACCTGTGACCTGTGAAGAGGGTGGGTAGAGTTTATTTTAAAATTGAAGTCTTCTGGGCATTTGATTAAATGTTCACCCCAGTTTTTCATGTGGTAGAAAATTTGCTAACTTAACAGTGACTTCTAAGACAAGTAAAGGAACAAGATCATCTACTACATTTTATAATATTTTGAAGTATTGGATCAAGCTGATTTTGGCACATGTACGTATTTCATAATGAAACTTCATATGCAGTTAGATAGATAATGACTGCCTTCTGAGTTTGCTAGTGCTGAAAATCAGAGATGAGAGAAAAATGTGTCCCATTATTTAATGTATCCTGCTCATAGTGCAGAGCTAGTTCTTAGAAACCCCAGAGCTTTTGTCCTAATATTTTAAAATAATTTTTGCGATAAAATCAATTTTGATCTTTCCTTTTGACCATGATTTTCCAAGTGACAGATGTCTTTGATTCAGTCCTGCGCAATTTCTCTGCAGTTTCACCCCCTTGTCTTAGATGACCCTAATTTCTTTTTCCAGCATGATACTTATGCACAGATATCAGGCCCTCTTAAGCACTGCATACACTGGGAAAGCAACCAATGATGAGTCAGTAGTGGAAACTATTTAATATTGGGAAAACAGATTGCAGAAGCATTTCAGAAAGTAAGGCTGAGATCGATGACAGTCTCTGAAACAATAGCAAGTCAATTGTAACCAGTCTACACTAACATTTAAGCAAGTTCCAAAACAGTTCAAGGAACCAGTTTCTTAAAATGAAGCTCTTTAATAGTCACATCACCACAGATCAGACTGTACTTGTCTGTTACCAGACCGTACATACTGTAGTGCAGACTGACTGCATGTGTAAATCAGCCTCTTGGCTCCGTTGTGGATTTTGCTGTCTCTCTTGGAATATCTTCCACTACAAAGTACTTGATGAGGACTTCAAGTGTTTCTCCATGCCCAACAGGTTTTGCACATCTAAACAATAACGCTAATATCTAGTTTTAGGTAAAGTACAAGATGGAGGCAATGTCTGAAGCAAACATACAAGACATTTATTTTCTTATCCACCTGAAAGAGAATCTATTCAAAATACAAAGATAAACCTTCCTTCTCTTACTGTTACTCAAGGGAGCACCCAGTGAACCTAATGGCAAGATTTGTCTGTCAACCATATTCTGCTTTGTGCTTCAGATGCTGCTGTTTGTAATCACTAGAGAGCATGGCTGTGCACCAGAGAGCAGGATTTGGCACTGCACTCTAGTATACTGACTGGTGTTAGGCACGCAGATTTCACTGAAAACAATAAGTGCTTTTGAAACTTGTGGCTGTTGTATTAAGACAATTTTCTTCCTTTCTGTTGGCAGACCAACCAATTCAGTATGCCCATTCCACTTTTGAAGATGGAGTTGCAAAATTGACTGTCCAAGATGCCCTACCAGAAGATGATGGCATTTATACCTGTCTGGCTGAAAACAACACAGGACAGGCATCTTGCAGTGCTCAGGTCACAGTCAAAGGTGAATATTTTAGCCTGCCATAATTACTGAAATGATATCAGCTGTAATCTTAAAAAAAATTTATCTTCATCCTTAAGAGAGGTTGTTGTAAGTGGGTTCCATGTTTTTTCTAAGCTTTTTTCAGCTGGATACCTTTTCTTCTCCTTGGAAGTGTATGCAACTTAAGTGCTTAGGGACTGTGAAACATGAAGTAATGTGTATGTTTCAGAAAAAGGTATTAATGCTCTGACCTTACCAAGAAGCACTTAGTGTGGTACAGAGTAGTGAGGTTAAGTTTTGGAAGAGGTGTACCAGCGCAGGAAAGTACTGTCACTGCTGAAAGAAAAATGAGCGTAGTATCACCAGCGTCACCAATTAGGCAGAGGGTGTTACAGTCAGGAGGCAGATGCTACTGTTTCCTTTTGAAAAGCAGGGCACAGAGACCAGTGCCAAGGACTGCAATTATGATAGCAAATGCCAGTGTTCTTGTTCTGCTACCAGAATTTGTCAGATATCATTCTGAAGAGGTATGTATCAGCTAATTGGGAGCAGTATATCTCTAAATAAGCAGAATTTTGGTAGTGAAAGTACCAGAAGAAGGTTGTCATAAGCAACTGAGGTGATCTGTTGTCTCTGAAATTTGAGAGCACCGTCTTTGCAAATATCAATAATTTGATACCCTCAGTGCTGATTTGACAGATGACTTGTCCATGAATGCCATAATTCTGCACTAGGATCTGAACAAACACAGTCGTAAAGACTAGAGATCATAATGAAGACAAGAGATGGCAGAATCCCATGGATACATTGAACAGTGAGGTAGTATCAATCAGCATTATGGACTTAATTCTTATAATCTCACCTGGCATCAGTTTTTACAGTTGTTTCATTTTATGGCTGCAGATGATGAGCCCCCTCCCTCCACAGTCCCTCTCCCTCAGATTCTGCCTCCCTCTTACAGTCAATATTTAGTATTTTTCATCTGCAAATTATTTTTCCCAAAGTTATAATAGTTTGGCACTGCCTATCTAACAGACTGCTGAGACAGTTGCCAAGGGAACTATTCCATTTGTCTGGGACCAAATAATACCTGCCCCAAATCTGTACATGCAGCTTAGTGGGAAAGGTAGCCTGATCCCTGGGATACCAAGATTTGTCTTGGTTTGACAATGTTCTGTGGTGTTTGTCTACAGCACTTCAGTGATGTGCCTGCCCCTATTCTGTCTGTATGAATCCACTTAAAACCCTAGACAAGCTTAAAATGAAAACAAAGTAATTCTGGTAAACCTATGAGTTAATTTCTTGATTACTGAATTGGAAATGCAGTTGCCCCTTCCCCACTCTCTCCCTCCCCCCAGAAAAAAAGGCACCAAGTAGGAAAACACTGATTTTAAAATAAGCCTGACACTAATCTGTTCTCAAAGCTGTCGTTCATAATTTCTCTGAAGCATTTCATCTGCATTAGCTAAGGGCCAATCAAGAGTACTCCACCTCAAGGGAGCTATTTGACATGGGATCTCCTAATTCTTCACTGGAACACAGAAACAAAAAAGACAGCCCCTTTCTTACTCCTTTCTGAGTTATTTTAGGGTTGACGTACAGTGCTAACATGGGAGCAACAGTGATCTAGCCTTTCCCCAGGTTTGTGTACTCTGCTAAGCTATTTCAGGTTACGTAGTCGCTGATGCACTGAGTTGGATTCCTCTCGCACTTCAGCTAGTGTGGGGTTAGAAAGCTACACTGCCGATATTATGGGGAGTTTGTTCCTCTGTTTTGCACCCACTTCTGTTTTCTGGGAGTTATGGAATGTGGGGGGAAGAACAAGAGTAGAATTAAGAACATGCGTGACAGGCTGTGAAGCCACATTTTCAACATTTTTACAGCTTTAGCTGTCCCCTCCACTTCCTCCTAAAACTCATTATGTCCCTGTTGCCATGAGGATTACAGTAACTTTCCCCAAAATTCAGATCAATTGTGGATTTGCCTGCCAAAAATAGTATCAAATTTTAAATTGTGTTTTCCAAGTCTCTTATCTGTTCTTATATATTTTCCATCAAACCCTCTAGCAAATGTTTATTGGCATTAGAGTTCTCTGAGACTGAATGCTGCTGCTAAGCTTTCACAGACAGATTATAGCAGGAAATCAGTGTACGTGCAGAAAGAGAGAAAACTTCAAAAATCCTCTACGGACTAGACATTGATTTTTGAAATAATGTCTGTAAAAACTGTTTCTGAATTGCAACCCGTGTCTCTCCAGTTTTTGTCTCCAAGACGATTTAAGGTTTCAGGTTTCATGCACTGCTCAGTCTGTTCATTCATTGCTAGAAAAACATTTTCTTTTTGTATGTGAAAAGTAATTTGTATTTAATCTAAGAAGGAATAGATGTTCTTGGCATATCATCAGTATCAGACCAGTGTCAGGATTCAGATTTTCCTTAACTTGCTACTGTGGTCCTTGTATGAATCTCTGAGTCTGTCTGGGTCTACATTTCACTTCATATTGCCATTTTTGGCTTTGCTATTCAAAGGCAGCAGGGTCTCATGGAGGAGCATATCTGCTGTGATCCTTGGGGAAACTTTACCTGGAGTGAATTGTCTGTCTTAACAGTAAAATTCAATTTTATTTTACAAAGGCAAAAAGCTATACCTTCTAAATTAAACTAAGCTCACAGGTAACTCAGAAAAGTCCCGTGCTGGCAGCAAGGATAGTCAGTGACAAACTGTTTGAAGGAAAAAAAAAAAACAAACCACAATGTAAGCCTCATGTTTGAATTACACTACAAGATGATACTTAAACCTGCTAGAAGGTTACAGGTGTTGTCTGCCAATATACTATGTTTTCTGATCATCTTTTGTGCATTCTTTGTTCTTCAGAAGATCTGTTGTTTTGTTTTTGTCAAAGGAAATTTCCTTTTGTGGGTTTATTGTAGGAAACATTTTAAAGGCCCTTTGTCCTGTAAAGGACTACTGTTCCAAGTCCTGTTAAACACGGGGGGGGGGGGGGTTTCCAGTACTTTCTGTATGCTTTGCATTGGGCCCCGGATAACTAGCTAGGCTTATTGTAGCATAGCATTCCTTCTAAGTCATCAGTCTCAGATTCATTTATGGTTGTTTTTTGCTTCCTTATAATCAAGCAGGATAAATTCTGCCTAGTGCTGAGCAACCTCAGAGCTTCCCTGGTTTTGTATGAAAAATGCTGAAGGTACTTAGCTGTTTGTAGGAGGCTTTTGGCACTATGTTAAAAAAGTCCCACACTTCATATGGATGGGGCATAAAAAATGCAATGGTCTTTAAAAATTCAAACTAATCAGTCTTCTTCTTATTTAATTCAAGAAAACAACATCTTCAGATCACTTAAGGAAGTAATCTGAAGGCTGAGTAAATTGGGATAGATCCATTACTTAGTCTGTGGAGAAACAAAGTTAATCAAGATGAAGCTAATTTTGTAAAAGACTAAGTAGACTAAATTGAGTCCTGACAGTTGTCTTCCCTGTGACAGTGGTTTCTTACAGCTGAAATACAGGTAGACATGAACTACAGAGGATGAGCAGCACTTCTTTGAAAAACCAGCCTAACAAATGTCTTTACCATGAGAATTTTTTCTAACTGAACTCTCTAGTGAGTGGGGTGCACTGGATAAAATGTTAGATTAATTAATCTAATGCAAGAAGACCTGAGAGGTGAGAAACGTGGTCCAGATTATTACGTGGTTCCTGGAATGATACCATTTGCTGCTCTGCAGATGTTATAAGTTTTTTCTTTTAAGCTTATGCATAATTTTCTACAGACAGGAAAATCAGAATTTGGGAGGCTTTGGGGCTGATGGACAATTTTTTAAAAAAGTTTTTAAACAGTGTGCTCATGACTGAGTTGTTTCTGTTATTTTATGTGCAAGGTAGGCAATTGGGTTGGTGTTCCCATTTAATATTACACTTTCCATATTGTTTTTTTTCTACGAAAGTAAGTATACAAGCCACTTTTAAAATGCATCCTATTTAAAACAAACAAACAAACAAACAAAAAAAACCCAAAAAAAACCACCAACCCAGTTCCTTAACAGGGATATGCAGGGTACATTCAGGTCACCTGAAAAGTACTGTGATTATATATGGACAGTGATTGTAGATACTGAGGTTGAATGTTTATATTAATCAGCTTTTTATCAGGGTGACTGAACATTTTAATCAGTTTTTATGAATAGGAAGCTGAGGTGAGGAGAGGTTAATTTACTTTGGATGTGCCTATATAGTGAGTCAGCGTTACTGCTTTGCTGTAGCTGTGACAATCAGAGTATATAGGCAAGAAAACTAGTGGTAATAACGGGTGTAGCTGGAGGATAAGGCAGCTCCCAGACTTAGTAACTGTTCTTCAGGTCTGCCTCATACCTGAGATAAGCCGCCTGATATGTGGTTGTCTCTGTCAGTTAACTAATCACTGACAAGGAATTACAGGTCAGATCCACTGGTAGAAAAGATGTGTCAAAGGGATATTTAACCACCTGACACACACACCAATACCTGGGTGTACTACACAAGGTTACAGGCTGGCAGGAGAACAGGAATAAGGATGTGACACATGACAGGCTCAATCTACTGTTGTTTCAAAACAAATTAATATTGTGTGTAGGAAGGTTTTGTTCTTTTGCAAACAGACTCTGCATGTAAGAGAGGCAGTTAAGTGCTTTTTCCAGATTTCTCTAGGTATGGTATCAATCTGGAGTGCTTGTTACAAGAGGGCTGATTCGTAGGAGAATGTCCTACTGTCTTGTAGTTCTGCAGTAGATGACAAAATATCTGACTGACTGCAGGCTCCTTGAGAGTTCTCCAGCCTCCTCCCACCAGACAGCAGCATCACTGACTTCAAGACGGAGGGCACAAAGTGTGGGTGGTGATAGCAGCAGCACAGGCTTGCCGCCAAGGTACTTTTGTGAGCTCTAATACTCTGCAGCCGCCCATTTTGCTGATGCTAGTCTTCTGCACGTTGCTTTTTTTGAATAGAGGCCTCATACTGCCTCCCTTGGT